TCTTTTTAGTAATTTAATGTCTAAATATATTTACTACATCACAAATTTCTTCCAGTGTTTTTATTAATGATAAGCACAATTTATATGTTATACTGATATGCAGAACAAAGTGTATTTAAACCCCTTGTAAATAAACCTCTTTACATAATGGATGATTCTAATATTACATGCATCATCTATGTTATCAACATTGCTAAATCTTGGATTTTTCTTTACTTAGGCTGCTATTATCATCAAGCACAACTTACTTCTAATGAAAACACTGCAAAAGCTCTTTATAAATTCTTTAAAATATGACTGGAAGTACAGGAACCTCCTATTTCAGTAAGAAAGATATTAGAACCATGGTATTGTCTTGTAAAGAGACTCACTTGGATTTGGCCCGTTTTCTTCAAAATCTTGCTCACTCATGATCAAGGAAAATTAAGTGGGTCTCCTCTGATGATTCTTCAGGTACCAAGAATTGAAAGAGGAAACTGACAGTTCCTTCCTCCCAGCTTAATGTAAGACCTCAAATCCTGTTTCTTACTAGCATTGGATTAATCCTGAAACAAGTCATTAAGACTTCAGGCAGCATGAGTGCACATGACAGGAACTACATGAGAGTCACAGAATTCACTGAAGATCATTAAGCTGAAGGATTTTTGTCAGCAATAAACACCCTGCTTAGTGATATGGGAAGGATCAAGTCACTGAAACATCCCATGTCTCCATCTAATAAGTATTTTAAAAATTTTATTTCTATCAAATAAATTCATTTTAAAATATATCCACTAAACAGATCAGTAGAGATTAGCAACAAGTAGTATTAACCTATTCCAAAGACCTATCTACTATTAAAAAACCTTCTTTTACACACCAAAAGATATCTGTACGTATTAGCAGACCTTAAGCAAGTCAGTTAGTTTTTAAACATTGATTTTATGTAGAAATAGTTGGCATTTGTTCTACTTAAGATGTAGCAGAGAAACACTTTAAAATATAGTTCTAGTAATTTTGTAAGCTCTTTTTAAAAACAAATATTTTTAATTTATAAAGGTTTCTTTTTAGACTGGCAGCATAATTTGTTAATTCTCTTTCAAATTACATATGTCACTGTTTTCTAGTTTATGCATTAATGTATTACACGTTTTAAACCAGTCTTAAACTCATAAAAAGTGTTTCAATTCTGTTAAATGGATGCCAGTGATAGGAACAGACTAGTTCCTGGGATCAAATCCTTGAATAACATCTAAAATCTACTTTTCTCTGATCATAATATCTATGCTGCAAGCATGGTCAGTTGTGGCAGTTAAGGTTGAAGGGTTGACTGAAAATACACTAGACTTCTCCGTGAGATTAATTATCTTCCTCCATTGCACATATATACACACATACACACACACACACACATAACTGTGTTGACTATTCCCTGGTTTTCCAATAAGTAACATTTTACAGAAATTCACAGCATCCATGCTTCATTAGTTATATGATGGCTTCTTTGTAGATGATCAGGTTTGTTATTGCTATTCCTTGTATTTGAGGGTCTTCAAAGAATTTGCAGGAGTTAGTTCTCACATTAGTTTCTAAATAAGAAACTGCTGTGGAAAGGTAACTAATACTATGGGATGCTAAAAATACTAGCGATGTCTTGAAGCACCTGATACACAGAGCTGCTAAGGAACGAAAAGCTGATCAACTTTACAAAATTTTTACAGGTCTATCTAGACAGTCACTACAACTATGTGTGAAAAAACCAAACAAAACACCCAAAACAAATCAAGCCCAGAATTTCTTATAAAACTTCATACCTTACTGTCTACACTCATATTTCCTTCTCCTCTTCAACCATTTACTATCTCCTGACTACCCTTCTTTGTAGTCTATTATAAGCACATTAAAAGACACAGAAGACAGGCATATCTTCTTTCTGCTACTTTGTGAACATTTGAGTTAGCAGGCTGCACCCTTAACCATGTTAACTTGAAGTATTCTGCCTTTTCTGAAGTACTACTGTGACTAATGCTACAGTCCAGCCCCATAGGGAGTCACAAATGTCTTCTCCTCCTTTCACATACATCAAAGTATCATATAGTCAGAAAATATGAAGATATGGAATTTCAGATTATTAAGAAGGAGTGTAGATCATAGAACAAGAAGATCCCAGGTTACTCCTTTACCACATAGATGATTATCAGATAAGAATGTGTGAAAGGGGATAAATGCACAAAATTGTGCACTAATTGGTAAGTGCCTTGCTAATAAAAATCAAAACTACTGTTGATCTAATGACTAGACAGCATACAACTGATTCCCTCAAAAAAAATGAGCAGAGTTTGATGGGACAGGTTTGTCAGGTTTTCATGTATTTGGTAGGTTGGGTTTTTTTTTAAAAAAAGGTACTAGTGCAGTCAAGGGAAAACTACTTGGTTTTTAAGACAGACAATTCAATCAAAACTGATAACATGCTAGATTTCTAAACAACTGGAACAAAATAACATGCTGAGCTATATAGGCTAAAGATAAGTCAAATGGGAAGTTCCCATTCTCCTCTTTTTTATGTTCATCTCTGCTCTCAGCTTTACCCACCTCTCACCTTGACACAACCCTAGCCATTCTCACTTTTTGCAGTACTCACCTCAACCCAAAATGATTTTTACCTCTCCAGCAGTTTACTTTACTCACAGTTTAGCATGCTGAACCAGATCAGTGAAGCGTCTGATGGTCAAGTGCAGGAAAAAGGAAGCAAACCCAGACACAGAGGAGGACAAGGAAAGAAATAATTTACTTCTTAGCCTTTTTCTCAAGGCTGGAGCAGTGAGAAGGGCAAGGAGTCCTTCTCTGAGCAGCAGGCTTTTAGATGGGCTTAACTACAGCAGCTATCAGAAGTACAAACATTTCAGAATGCTTTAGTTTTCAGAAGAATAACTCAAGAACAATTATTTTATTATACAGCATTAACTTAACAATTCCATACAATACCCAAAGCAACACTGAGTAGCACATCTTTCACTTCCCAAAACTCTCTGTCAGATGGTAGCATTTAATCTCTTCATGAGGTCAGAACTCTTCGCCTATAATTTATATACAAACCAATGCCTTCCCTTTTCAATGTTTTGGTCTCTACTTCCAATTTTACAAACACACAAGAAGAATCATACGTAAATTCTTCCCCTTGACTGATACAGATCCATAACAGTATTTAAATATATCTTGCAATTGTAACTACTAGTCCCCAAACCACTACCTAATCACATAATTTTTTTTTTATATATCTCTGGTCTTTAGGGTTGTGATAAACCACTGTGAAAGCAGCAGTTCCTCTCTTCCTCTCACCTTCCCAGGATTTAAAAATGTTCCAAGCCTTTCAGATACTTCATATAACTTCATATATACATGCAGTCTAACAAATCCTGTCTAACTTTGCCGGTATGTATAGTCAGTATTTTAACATGCCACCTGTGTAAACACATGCCTCTCTGACTAGCTCTTCTACCAAAAGAAAATTTGTCCAGATGAATGCTGTACTGCTAGTCATCCATCCAGTACAAACAGATGTCACAGAAACAAACTGTTGTTGTTGTTTGTTGTCAGAAACAAACTGTTAAACTTTCACAGCTTATATTGCTTTGGTTTTTCTATTGCATTTAGTTCGGAAAAAGAAGAGGCAGTTATTAGAACAACTAGTGATCGTTTGAATATACTTAGGGAAAGGCAACTATATGTATTGTATATCTTTAATGGGTTAGTAAGATTTTAGAGTAAAAAGCTTTGGAAGAAAATAACCCAACTGTGTCATCTTGGTGTTTTACTATATTAGCTTCCTAAAATTAAGTCTGTCAAATATCTGTGTTTATCTCTTTACATTCATATCCCACATCACACGGAATTAGCCTTAATTATCTGCCACCTGTACCACAAAAATAAGATGCCTTTTACAAACCCCCATTTATTCACCTGTTATCATGTAACAAAGTTAATCCCCCCACCCAAACTTTTACAGAAGTATCGATTGTAACAAAGCATCCAGAATAAAGTTCAAGATGTGAACTAGCTCTCGAAGGGCTAGCAGAGATTCACACACCATACTTGGTATTGCTGCTGCAACACGCTTCGGAAAAAGGAAGTGTTAAGCGCCACAAGAATTACTGGTTTCCCAGCAGGGCCTTATCATGCAAGTGAAGAATCACTCATTTCCCCAGCTGGCAGAGAAATACTACTGCCCCTGCATAAGGGGTTGTCCTGAGCAGACCCTCACTCACGATGCCCGAGCTCCACCTCCGGTTTGATTCTACTCCCCCAGGAAACTTCAGGAACGAGGCCTAGCAAGAAGCAAGGCTCCGAACGCGACGGCATCTCGTAGCAAACACCTACTTAACCCTAGACGCTATATCTGATGCAAAAGCACATGGCTGGACAAACACCTGGAGCAACGCAGGAAAAATTGTGCTCTTCTCCACAGTCTGAATCTTGCCTCTTAGCCGTCTCTCTAGTGTGCTCCAACAGCAGTTAGCCTTAAAGACAGCCTAATGGATTTGATGATCTGATCTTCAAGGTCTCTTCCAACCTAAACGATTGATTCTACGTATTTTCCCCGTTTTTTAAACCGCTGTGGGCGACGCTGTTTCCGCCCGCTTCCCGTCGCAGACGGGAGGCGGGCTGACCGCCCCACACCGCCCCGGGCAGGCGCCGCGCCCGACAACGGGCTGCTCTGCTCCCCCGGCTGGAGCCGCCCATAAGTACTTCCTCTTTTCGGCCAGCGGCGCTGACTAATGGAAACAAAGAGAAACAGGCTCTCAGCCACCCCAGGCGCCAGACTTTCGCCCTTTCCCGAAGCGCACTTCTACACCTGGACAGGTAGCCCCGGCATCGCTCGCTGCAGAGAGGCGATGCGGCCCCTCCACAGTATTCGGGGACTCTCTGTCGGCCCTTCGGCCCGCCACAGACCCGCTCCTCCGCACGCAAAGAGCCGACGCTCTCTTTAGGCGTTGACCACCGGCGCTTCACCACTCTCTCACCAGTGCCCTGGTCTCTCTCGTCGCCTTCATCTTCCTCCTCTCGCTGCTGCCCATCCCGCTGCCGCTCTTCGCCCTGCGCCTCCACCGGCACCACCGTGAAGCTCGTCGGCATGCTGCAGACGGCCACAGACCCGCTGGCGCCTCCTCCTAGGGCAGCGGGCAGGGTGAGCCGGGCGCTGCCGCCTCCCTCACGTGAGAGCCATTTCCTCACGCAGCGGGGGGGCGGTGGCCGGCAGCGCGCCACTTCCCCCTCACCGCTCGCCTGATGGCGCTGCGGCCGTAACTCCGAAGGGAGGGGCACGGGCCCTGGGGCATCCCCTCTTCCTCAAACCTTGGCTTACAGTTACCCTTGCAGCGCTAAAACCAGTAGGCTACTGCTCCTCTGATCCCACCGGACAGAAATTGCTTTCCAAACGAAACCAGAGCCAGGCTGTAGGACCTTAATCCTCCAGATCACTGAAGGGATGAGAGTATCCAAAAGGCCTAAGCAGGGGATTTATGATCACCTTTTGGACAAGTGGAGAAAATTCACTGTGTGCCTTTGTACTACCAGGACATAAAGATGGCTCCCAGAAATCTGCTTTTCTACACAGCAGCCATGCTTTGCAGTAGACAGGTGAAGGTCCTGGGATTCAGGCCGGAGTCAGCATTTAAACTCTGACCAGCAGTGACGCAGATTTAGAGAGTCAGTGGATGAGCAGTGTATCAAATTAAATATTAATGATGTAGCACTAGTGATGGGATATAGCTCTTGGTTACCTCTAACTTCCATCTCAAAGGAGGTCGTAGCATCTCCACTCCAAAAGTAGAGAAAACAGATTTAAAAGCCAAGGGCATTTTTCTTGTTTCTTGTTCTTCTAGCAAAGTGCTAGAATAAACCAGAAAGACTATTTATTCAGTCTGTATCTGTGTCTTTCGGAAGAGGACTGGTAGTTTTGTGGCTCCTATACTTCATTGGAATGGAAGATGTATATGTGACACTGCAGTCTGTCCCACAGCATAAAGGCCTTCAGAGAAGGGAGTAGGCAAATTATTCTGGCCATCAAAAGTGGCAGTGAGCTGGCAGATGTGAAGATAATTGGTTTGAAAAACAGCATTTACTGAATCAGATTTCAGTGAAAAACAGAATTCCCTGAAAAACAGAATTCACAATCCCTCCTCTTCGTTTTTCTTACTGTATTTGGCTTGAGCTACAACTTATGTAGTTCTACACTTTTGGCATGCTGATACTTTTCATAGATCTTAAATGCCTTGTTTTCATCATCTTTTTCTTTTCTCAATACCATAATTTTCTGCTTTCGTCCTGTGGTTCCCAACTTTGGATTGGTGGATACTGTCATTATTTCCATGTTTTGGACTACATAAGTGATTAATTGAATAAAGCATGAGATCAAACATGGAAGAAAGATTAGACCTGTTATTCTGCATAGCAATACAAATCCGGCCCTCTTCCACCAGGATATTCCAAAAAAAATCTTCCAACTGTCCTTTATTCATTATAGATTCCCATTTTTGGGAATCTGGCACATGGGCTATTTTCCAGATGTTTCTGCCTATATCCAAAACTGCATCCCCAATATCATCAATTTGTAGACAGCAATCAGATGTGTTAAACCCCCCCCCTCTTCTGCTAACAAATAGTCTAGTGCTAACCGGTTTTGATGCACTGCAGCTCTGGTTTGCTTTTGCTGTTTGACTGTTCATTCCATGGCCCCTGCTGTTTCATTAGGTATGATTTCTGCAACTGCTTGTAGTCTTATGATGCAATTCAACATATAAATTGGGGTTCAATATCTCCAACTCCCATCTTGTGCCCAGGTAGGTGGACCCTATGTCTGTATTATCCATTCAGGTGGTCAGTCTTCATCACCCCACTTTTGGTATCCCCCAATTTCTCCAATTAGTTCTCTCTTTTTTCTTTTTAAGGCATCATACACCAGTATTCCCAGATCATCTCCATCTTGGCTTGGCAACAGGAAAAATCCTGGTTGTATAATTCCCAGGCTAAAACTTCTTTCCATAGGAGAGGAAGTTCTGAATAAGCCCTTTTTCCACATATCCAAAATAAGCCATCTGGTGCTTTCCATTATTTGTTCCTTTGGTAATTCATATTTTCCCAAAATTTGGATATTTCAGGAATCCCATAATAGGGATTTTTCCCTGAGTCATTGCACTGGAGAAGTTTAATTTCTTTTTCATATTTACAATTCTTTTTCCTTTCCTGAGTCCAATATTAGGATATTGGCCCAGGGATCCACCATGTGAAAGTTCCATTATATACTTTAACACTTTTATAAAAGGTCTGTCCTTGTCTAAAAATTCTCTTCCCATAGGCCAGAGGCACTCCTCTCCAATTATGTCTGAACTTAATATCCACCCCTCTGTCTGATTTTCCCCTTTTATTTTGGATCTGTTCCATTTGAGAAGTTCAGCTGGGCCTAGACTACTACCCTTCCATGGCCATTCTTCGGATATTAAAGCTCCTCCACAAACCCAGCAGCTGCTAACATTTAGCTCCCTGCTGATCCTTTCTCCCAGATCTACAAAGAAGTTTTCCCCTAACTTTGGTATTTCTATTTCATTTTCCAGTTGTTCTCTGAGTTTTGCATATAAACCTCCATGCGAAGTTGGCTTCAGAGTGGTGGGTTGCTGTGTCTGTTTTCTTTGTTTTGTTTATCCTTATTTGTTCCCGTATTAAATCTTTTATCAAATCTTGTTCCTTTTTCTATTCTCGGGTTTGACTCATGGGGAAACAAACCCATTTGTGTCCTCATGGGCAAAATGACCCTACAGTTTTGGTAACTTTATACATTTGGTTATTTTGTATGTGGGTGTCTACCTGAGAGGAGTTACAGCAGTGGTGGCTAATGAAGGTATGAAAGCTAAAGTAAGAACCTTGGGTTTTCCCATGGTATAGTGGTCTGTAGCATTTGTGGCAGGGATCATCTGGATTCCCAAAGGTGACATGATTAATAAGGAGTAACAGAAGCCCAGTATAATGTGTACCCCCACCTGCCATGACTGATGAGGTTGCTGGCCACAGCATGTGGACATGAGTGGTGGCAAGTATAGTGGTTAATCTGGTCTTGCCTTCTGGTCTCCTTATCCTAAAATTACCTATGTAACCTGCTTTTCTCATTTTGTGATTCTCTGTAGTTCCTTACATAGTCAGCCCTTATTAAGTTCACTCTCAGAATAGGGTCTTATTATCTCCCCATCATATAGAGTGGTTGCCTGCATTCAAAATATGGTCTCTGTTTTTGATTTAGTACCTCCCATTCAGCTTCTAATAGCTCGTGAATATCAGGGATCATCCACTCAACTCCACAACAAAGTGTTAGAATTGGTACCTGCCCTCGATTAGTGCTGGAACTTTTCCCTTTATCTTGACAAATTTTGTTACGTGCTTGCCGTCTGAGTGAGCTTCAGTGCCAGAGCTGGCCACAGTTTTCACACTGACATTGTACCCAACTTGAGTGTCTCATTCCAGGGTGCTTTAAGCCGGGTATGTGATCAAGAATAAATCTGGGAGGTGTCTCAGCAGAAAAGGCTAATAGTTGTTCTTTCTGCACATCACAGGCAAAAGCAAAAACTCTAGGCTCACCTATGGACCCAGTGTTTGTTAGTTTGCATATACCTGATACCCCTGATTGGGGAGGTAGCAAACCACCGCCCCAGAGTTTGGAAACCTTCTGGCCTTTGGGGATACAAAAGAATCAATAAAGCTCACGGGGAAACATTGCAGTACCTCTTCTAGGGCTCGTCCAAATAAATTAGGGGATTCAGTAAATCCTTGGGGCAATTTAGTCCATCTGAATTTTTGCTCTCTCCCTGTATCAGGATCTTCCCATTCGAAAGCAAATATATCTCTGCTTTCCTCTGCAAAGGGACAGGCCCAAAAGGCATCTTTGAGATCTATCACACTGAAGCATCAGTGTGATGGAGGAATTCTACTTAACAGTGTATAGGGATTTGGTACTACTGCATATCATTCTATAGTTCTTTTGTTTATTTCTCTCAGGTCTTAGATGAGTCTCTATGTCCCTTTTGATTTTTTTACCTAATAATATGGGGGTATTGTGGGTAGACATGCACGGCTCCAAAGTTTCATCTTTGATTAATTCATGATTTACAGTTTTCAACCCTTTTCTTGCTTTGAGAGAGAGAGGATATTGCTGTATCCTTTGTTGTGGTTACACTACTATAGATAGGAGTTGTGTTTAACTTACCCTTATTTCCAGGTTTGGCCCAAACTACTTCAATTTGCTTTTCATCTTCTTTTAACCTGAGGAATTTAACTACCATTTTATCCCCTTCTGGAAGGATTCCTATGCCTAACTGTAGTTGCAACCCCCTTCCCAGCAGATTACATCCTGCCCCTGGTACAAATAAAACATCCCCCATTCCTATCTTGTTGGTTCCTTCAAATATCATGTTTTATGACTGGCACTCTAAATCCTTCCCCTTTTGCCCCTACTACTTGAACTGTATATTGGCTTTTCTCTCTGTTGGGGTTTTACACACACATGTCCTCTCTGCCCCTGTATCCACTAAAAACTTGAATTCCTCCTCCTGGGGGCCTACTTTTAAAGTTATTAAGGGCTCCTGTTGATATTTTGCCCCCAGGAGATAGAGGCCTCGACCCCCCTATTTGCCTGTTTCTTGAACCTCGTTGAAAACTTTCAGATCCTTTTCTCTCTGTGGGCAGTTTCATCCTTAGTGTCCGATTTTCGTGCAAAAATGGCAGATTGGGCCCTGATTATTAAATTCCCCTTCTTCCCTTGTAGGGCCTCTCTCCAAGGGAGCTCTATTCCCCTTAATTTCCTCCCAGCCCCCTTGCTGTGGCCTGACTGGGGCCTCACCTCCCTATAGGAGTGAGTCTTTGCCCAGTGGTTTCCTTCAGCAATAGCAGCTGCCATTAGCTTAGCCTTTGCCTTTTCTTTCTCTTCATCTCTTCGTACCTCTTTAGCAGGTCATTCAACCCTCTGTCTTGCCAATCCTCTAATCCTTCTAGCTTCTTTTTTATATCCGGCCAAGCATATGTGTCAAAAGTCACTTTTAGCAGTGTTTGTCCCACCTCTGTATCAGTATCCATTCTTGAGTACTGCCTCA